ACATGAAAAACTTGATGAAAAAACATTTCGTTGGATGTTAAATGAAGATGAAATGGCTAATGATAAATTAGCTGATGGAATACGAAAATTTGCTGCTGATGCTCAAAAACTTGAAGATCTTATTCGAGTTCGTCTTCAAAATAATAAATAAATAATTATTATTATTATTTATCTTCCTTTATTCATATACACTCATCTTATTCAATTCATCCAAAAAAACTTTTCTTTATTATTTATTCGTCCCTTTCTTTTTTTATGGTGATTTTCCTAGAAATAAACTTTATTCAACAAATTGTTGAAAAATCCATCACTCGATTGAATTACAATATGACATTTCATATGTAGTTTACAGATCATTTCAAAAAAATTTTTTTTTTTTTTTTTTGAGAAAAATGTACGAAATCTACTAGTTGTATTTAACAGTTAAATAACAGATAAAAATGATCTTAAAAATAATTTTATTAAATTGATATTCTAGTAGATTGATTAGATTATGAACGTTTTTCAATAATAACAAAAGAAATAATCGTTCAAGTTCATTTTAATATAAAGAAGTGATTTATATTTATTCTTGAGACTATCTTTATTTCTTTACATCAATATAATTTTCATTAGATTGTTTACTTGACAATTTTCAACTTTAGAGAGTAAATGATTTGTTAATAAAATTCTAAATTTATTTTATATATTAACATATGATTGAAATGAATATTTACTATTATAATAAGTCTCTTTTTGAATAATACTTAATGAACTTATCGTAAAAGATTCAAGATGAAAACATATCTACGTGAGTTTTTATATTCGATAATGAATCAAACAGGTAAGTTCGAGACAATAATTGTAAATAGTAGACACCATAAGTCAATAACAGTCTGAAGGTATATATTAGTATTGACCAAGACCTTCAAATGAAGGTTATTGTAAGATTTCTAATGTGCAATAGTGTTTGTTCTTTTTTTTGTTTACTGTGGTTTTTTTTTCATAATAATGAGTTTTGAAAATGTAATTTTTATTTAAAACGAGATTTACAAATTGACTGTCACCTTAATGTTGTCTTTCAAGATGATAAATGAAACAAGATATATATATATACACCTAAAATCGATTAAGAAAATTTTGATTTCAATTGCATATAAATAGATAAAATAAATTTCTAATTATCTCAAAAATGTCTTTTTTTGTTTATAAGAAAAAATCGTCGAGTAAACGAACTGATGAATATTGTATCTTGTAATATAAATCGAAGAGCAAACAACGATTATGTGAAAAATAAATAGAAAAGAAAAAAGGTAAGTATTCTGTTTATATTTAAGTACTGTAGTATGTCTATATCAGAATTTATTCTTTTTTCAATTGAAATTATGTTTAAAAATGATGAAAATAAATCACAATAGAAGAATTTTATAAATGAAAAGGATGGTAATGAAAATCTCGACTTCTTTTTTTTTCTTTATTTAAAATAAAACTTTATAAAAAGTTTAGTATTTAAACATATATATCAAAAAGACTTAAAAACTTCTCTCATAAAATATAAACATTATTTAAAAAAAGAAAAAAAAATCTCGAATGATTTATTAATGTTCACAATTCAAATAGAGTTTCCATAGATTTATCATATTCATGAAATGAAAAGAAAAAGAGAAAAAAAAAGAAAATCAATTGATTATTCGAATGTTGATAAAACAAGATAAACAGAAGCCAATTTCATATCTAAGAATAATAATAATGACGTAACTGTTCATTTGATTTCAAAGTCACTTTTGTTTTTAGTGTATCACACGAGTACAATCAAAAAAAAAGAAAAAAAGAACAATTTCTTTACTATGATTAGTGAACTTTTTCTTTTTTCTATTTGCTTAAAGGCTATTCTCTATAATTAGCCGAATGTAGCATAGAAAGCAAAAGTAAATGGTAATGCACGTCAAGATAAACGGTGGATAAGCATGTCGAAAATCAACATAAGACAAAATCGACATGAATATGTTGAAATAAATCTAGGTGAACATGTCAAACAAATTTTTTTCGAACAATTACAAGGTAAAAATTATAGATAATATTTTCATAGATTTAACTAAATATTTATATCTTATCTTTATATGAAAAACTACTAGAGTAACAGAAACTATAAAAATAAAAAAAAAGAACTTAGTTAATAACTATATAACCACATAGATTTTATTTTATTTTTTTTTTGTTGAAAAAAAAACCTGAGTATTTAAATGGTGTCAGTTGATTGCACTTAACAACTACCTTAAATTTTATTTCTTGCAATAAAAAAAAACAACTCGATTTTTTTTTTTTTCATCTCAATGGTACATAGACATTTTGTATGTATTGAAAAAAACATGAA